GGCCCCCCAAACCCCCCCCCCCCCCCAACATGTATGTCAAAATTATCACATCTTCTGGTTTTAAATCAACAAGTCTGACAGATTTTGTGCAAGGACAGCTTCGGGTTCAGTTTCGCTTTGGCCGATGCTTGCCGGAAGTACACTTATTTACCGGAAGTTGTCGTCTCCTCCGCAGGCTCTTCGATCTTCGACTACGCGCGCGGCTCGATACAAAATAAAAATTTAAAAAAAAAAATAGGAGCCGAATTTATGACCTCGGTGTCGTACTGACCCAAGGTAATAATAATGCAACACGGGAGATTTTGGTTCGTCCCTGCAGGTATTTTGGTCCCTTTTTAGAAACCTCCTGTAAAGCGTCAAAAGCTCGACTTTTTTGGGCAGGTTCAAACACCATTCCAACGACCGGTGACCCATTGGTGTAATTGGTTGGGGGAGCCCACCGAGATGATTGCCCCTGGGCCTCTGCGATGTCAAAAAAACTAGAGTTGTTCCTATCCGCCCGTGTTCTAATCCCGTTATATGTCCAGTGCAAACTTTACGTGCAATACAGAGCTCTACACCTCGTTTTTAGCTTCCTCGGCCGCCTTACGATGTACCTAAAAAAATTAGGTATTTATGACGGCGAATCGCCGCATAGTTTTTGGAGTGGTACAGTTATCATGTTGCGTCGCCTTGGTGCGTCGCAAGAAGATGTTGCTCGCCACGTTGGCTGGCAGTCCACTCAGATGGTCCACCTCTGCGCCCAGACGGATAAAGTTTAGGGAATTTCGAATAGTACTCCTTCTCCAACTTCAAACCCCCTTAATATGGACGATGAAGTATTAATCAGAATTCAGAGGCAAAAATCTGCTGCTTGGATACCATTCTGCTTTCGTGAACAGTAGCTAGATTGGTGAAAACATTCGAGTCTCGGGATTTTAGAAGGGTGTGAGAACTGGGAAGTTACAGGTAGTGTAGAGTGCGTTCATGGGAAGGACTTGTACTCTTCCCATAACTGTTTTCTTAAGTAAGCTTTGTGAAGCAGTATTGTACTTAAAATAGATTACTACTGTATGCTCAGTAGTTTGAAATCATAAGCCGTGATTCTATTCGCACTAGTTTTGCGCATGCTCCACGGCAGCGCAGTGTGGTATAAATATATCTGATTACATAATTATTTTCACTTCGTATCATCGTATGATGAAAGCAAGATAGCTAGAAAAGTGGATGGGTTTGAACAGTATTTACATGAGGAGCGACGAGTAAACCTGACTTTGCAGGTGCTCTTCACGAGGACGCCTGGTGCCGCATTTGCATTATGGAAAAAATACTTCTTACTATAGAAGAAAAACACTTTTATTTGAATTATAAGATAATACAGGTAACGTTTGGAAGTAAAAATACTGAAATTATATAGTATATTAGTAGTGATTAGTGTATGAAGAAGGTTCTGTTCCAAATCGTTGTTAAAATATGTATCACCTTCCCGTCCCACTAATTAAAAATGCAAACGTATAGTAGAAATTGTAAAAAAACTTACACACCATATTTACAGTGTTGAACTTTATATTTCTATCTACCGTTTTATCTAAATGAAAGATTTACGTTTTAAACCCGAAAAAAACGCTACTGGCGTTACTATGTCAACAATTAATGATGTTTCAAAATGGTGCACATTTTGGGTTTGAATTCAACTTGAAAAAAATGCAAGTCACCCTGCACTTAATCACTTTTTTCTTTTAGTAAAATGAATTTAAATTAACGATTATATCGTAGAATTTCGACTTTTCTGAAACAAACGTATAGGGAGCCACCTAAAGATATTGAAATATAAGTGCACAAAACATTACAGTATATGTGGTAAGAGTAATGTCATTTAAATATTCTAATAATCTAGCTTTAACACTCTTCAGCACTAAAAAGAAGACAATTTAATTTTTATATGCAGAATTCTCGCCAGCCTCTTATTTCGATCGCATCTCCCTGCCATTCCAACTTGGTAACATTGCATACACTAATTTTAAAGCAAAAATTCGTTATTAAATTAAATGCCTATACTTATCTAATGCTGAAGAGTAACAGAGTAAAACCCGGACGACTCCTTTTCCTTCGTTTCATTTGGCATTCACTTCAAATCCGCGCAAAAATAGCAGATACCACAAAATATTTTGATGGAGTCAATCATACACCCCATGTAAAATGCATAGGTAGTTCTATTTTATTCTAAAATTATCTTCTTTTCCCTTTTGATTTTACATTTCTCTTGGTAGGTTTTACGCTATTTACGACTTTCAAACGACCAACTGCATCGTCATCGAGTCCATCATCTGCAAAATCTTCATCGCCCGAATCTTGATTAGCCCCAAGTTCGCGTGGTTTCACACCGCCTTCAAAGGAAATTAAGAACAATTTTAAACTTTTTTTCTTTTTGACAGAGATATAATTTTTTGTATATCTTATTTTTTGTATATCTTAATAACGAAAAAAAAACACAAAAGAAATCATGAAAGTGAAGGAGTTTGTATATCTGATACAAAATCATGCTGATTTAGATGAACGTTAAGTTCAATTTTCTCACCACATATCATTCATTTGTTTTAAATTGTTGAAGAATACGAATGTAAGAATCAAGACGTTTCACAAGCCATTTACAACATTCGCGTCCGTGTTGTATCGGATTTGTACAAAACAAAGTCATATCCCAAAAGGTTCTTGAAATCAACAACTTCTTCAAATCCTATTTTCTGTTTGTTCCATTTCTGATTAATGGTTATAGGCCCATACCTTCAATCATTGTTATAATTTTTTGTATGATTGTAAAGTTAATAAATAAATAAATAAATAAATAAAATGTTATTAAATAATACTGTCGGAACTGGGGGGGCAAGAGAGCAGACGTGTATTTTGTGCTCTGTATAAAATTTCATGTGCATTATGTACTATTTAAAACACGAGTTGGGGTGTTTTATCAGATATAAAACGCGAGGCGCACCCGAGCGTTTTATATCTGATAAAACACGACAACGAGTGTTTTGAATAGCTTAAAATACGACTACAAAAGAATCAGTGACGTGCTGGCAGGGGGGGCCGGGGGGCCACGGCCCCCCCAGCTGGCAATTTTTGGGGGGCGCAAAAATGAAAAGGGGGCGCCGATCCCGCGCCAAATTTTGAAAGTAGGTGGGAAGAAACGCATTCGAAAAAATATAGTTGCTAATTCGGCCAAGGAAAGATGTGTTTATTGACTTATAAACAGACTAAGCGCATAGGCGACAAAGTGAGTATATTAAATTGCAGACTATTTTGTCTAACCGTATTTGCTACCTAACGACTCACACGAAATCACTCGTTCATATAGAAACATGATCAGTCATCACACGCAGTGTGATCTTACCGGAATATTGATCAGCCTTCGAAGCGATCACGGGAATTATGCCCTTTTTTGCTGGTATTATACCCTTATATTATGCCCTTTATTATGCTTCACGAATCACGAGAGGGCGCAAATTAGATAGTTGAAGTTATGACAATGTAAAGTTGTGCATGCAATTTAGTTGTTTGCGCAAGAAACATTATGAGTAATGTAAGTAATCAGATAATGATGAAACACGCCCTTTTGGCAGCCAGGCAAGGAAACCTTAAAATGCATATGCGTGGGGTCCGTGTGTTATTGTATGAAAGAGCTGTAAGTTGTAAATGTATTCAGATCAGTAGAGAATAAAATTGGGATTAGATTAATTGCTGGAAGTAGTTAGCATTGCCCAATTTAATAGTGCTGCTACTAAATTCTAACCAATTTTCAAATTTCGACACGTTGTAATGCCGTTTCCTGACCATCAGATTTCTGTCAAATCTTCCCCCAAAGTCCAGGAAATGGCATTTCAGAGACTCTAGATTCAAAAATTTTCCTGGGGGGCATGCCTCCGGACCCCCCTAGAACAACCTCGCACCTGCGGCGCTCGGCTCGTGCCTTCGGCCCTCGTTTATCAAGGGTAATATTATAGGGGCGCATATTAGTTGCCAGCCGACTGCCCCCCCCAGAAAAATAGTACCCAGCACGCCACTGTTACAGACAGACACAAGATATCGATCTCGACAATACATAACTCGCGCGAAAGACTGGGTCGAGTGGACTCTGGAGAAACCACTTCGTGTCAAGAATAGTGTGCTGCCTCGCTACGCTCGGCAGCAATTATTATTAATCTTGTACTCTCAAGATCGACCACTTGCTAGGCTTTATCTCTGGTTTTATGCGTCAAACAAGGATACTAGACGGTTTTAGATATCAAGACGCGGACGTCAAGAGGACGTGGATGTCGTCATTTGGCGCCAACTATCGCCAGCTTCCAGTGGCGTAAAGCCCGTTCTCCACTACGCGAATTTGTTCGCGCGACGCGAAGCGAAAACCGAAATCCGGCAACGTGATTGGTCGGCGAAAAAAATCGCGGCGAAAAAGTAGGATCGCTTCCTACTTTTTATCTGTTCGCGCGAATAAATTCGCCTAGTGGAGAACGGGCTTAACGCTCATTGGGTAGGGTTAGTTCGAAAACTAAGGGCCCCCGACAGTTAGGGGCCCCCATCATGATAACCTGAAGTTCAGGCCCTAATTTGAAATAGGGCCTGACACAAAACCTGTCTAGACCGTAGGACGTCCACATGTTATTTTTAGACACATCATGCAATATGATTGACAAGTGTTGTAGATTTCGTTACACAAAAAAAATATATTCTCATGAACATGTCCGCAGAGTGCATTTTGCTTCATAATTAAACTCAAGGTACTTTTATATAAATATAAGATTCAGACAAAGATTTAATTAGTCAGTTCGGTGCATGGCTTGACTGCCAAGCTTTCTCAAGGTCTCAACCTGCTGGACGCGGATATTAGGGATATACTTTATTAAAACGGGCTAACAACAGCAACAATGAAATTCTCAATCGTACCACGAAGAAGGTGATGTAGTTCAGAAAACAACGCCGGTAGGACCTGATATTAAAAATAAGACTTGCCGGCGAAGTCAGTTGGCAGAACATCTTTTCGAATCATAATCGAATACATGACTTAGTTTGGCTGTTCTTTCGGCGTCGTGTGTCCAAAATTCGTCCAAGATTTTGATAAAGCCCTTTCAAAATACTGTTTGTTTGATTTATTTTCTGCCATAAATCATAAAAGAAAAAGAAATTCGAAGAAATCGATAATAGAATTTGTACGTGCGTTTGACCTTTATATTAATTGTCGCCTTGACCGAGCTATTTTTAAAACTGTTGTTTATGTAAACTTGCAACCAATCAAAATCCTTCATGATGCTGATCAACCAATCAGATTTCGCGTCCACCAGGTGGACGGGAATCCCACACTTTAGATAGGTTTTGTGTCAGGCCCTATTCTGTGATTAGGGCCTGAACTTCAGGTTACCATCATGATCAACCACGGCCGATCGCCCAGAAAATTAGAAAACGTAAAAAATGCAGGTTAAGAATCAACGGGAAAATGCAAAATTAATAATGCTAAACTAATAAAGCCTCCGTCGACAACGGTAACTGAGATTGTTATTCCATCTCAAATAAAACAAAAGTTATTCTTATTAGTTGTGTTGGAGACAGCTATTGTTATAGACACGGAGTTTTACAGAACATTCTATAAATATTCAATATAAATATAATATCCCAGTCAGACAATGACAACAATCAACAGGGGCCTCCACACCAAATATGCCTAAGGGCCCCCTCTTTCCCCGTTACGCCACTGCCAGCTTCTGGTTTGCGACGTCGTCTTGGACGATTTCACGACGCGAAAATACAATTTTCACGTCCTCTCTAGAACGTTAACGCCACAGATATTTGCTTCTTTTGAAAAAAATATGAGACTATGCATAATAAAAATCATCCTATTTTGTTCCCCATGTATTTTTTAATGATACTAGCAAATGTTTTTCTATTGACAATGTGGTTTTTCTTGTATTTAGCTAAATTTTAGACGAGTTGATTTTCGACAAATACTTTCGGTCGCCATAAACATATCAACAAAACTGCAAGCATTGTTAATAACCACTTCAATACCGCTAGTAATCTTCACCAAAACAAATATTTTAGAACAAACTAAACTGAAGTTATATTAACAACTGTTTAAAATCAGGAAAACGTGGGAAAATAGAACAATAAAAGCACTTAAAAGCAGTAAAAACTCAATCAATTGTCACAACAGTGCCAAAAAAGTAGGACAAGCAAAAAAACGCTTTCCAGCATGAAAAACTATCGTAAACAGTATTAAATTTTACCAATATAAACACTGATCGATGCTATATTAATACTGAACAGTTGACAAACTTGATTGAATAGGCTACAATTAGCTCGTAACCAATACCTGCAGCTGTTGTATTTATTCCAAATGATGCAACAAAGTTCACTTTTCAAAAGACCGAAATATAACTTTTTTTCTTGAAAAAACTTATTGAATGTCCATACTAATTCATCAGGAAACACTTGGCCAGTATTATATAGCCTTTTCTTGCACATATCTTGACAACTGATTGAAAACAATACAGGAATGAACAGGTAACAAGAAAGCAAAAATTTGCTTCGAAAAAGACAAACAAGCCGTCCCAGATTAAAACCCGGAAGTAAACGCGACGTCCTCTTGACGTCCGCGTCTTGTTATCTAAAACCGTCTACTACTGTTCGAATGAGCGGGAAAACTTGTATTTACGGATGGAAAATTGATTTCAAAATTGATTTCTATTCTAGTGATTTATGGCCTTTGAAAGACAAGCGAAATTGTATTGTCCACAAATCGCTCAAAATTATTAAACTAATTAGAAATGCAACCATTGACCTTGATAACTTTCGTATTGTTGGTTTTCTCTTTTTCGGCCGTAT